GAGATAGAATCATGAAGAGAGGTGTTAATTTGCACTAAGTATCAAAAAGGGAAGTCTGTCAGAGAAGCTGCAGTGGGTGGCAGACGGTGTTAAATTCACTTCAACTATGTGCTTGTTCAATCCCTGCGGTTTTTCCTTTTTCTTATTCCAATATCTTGGAATAAAAGATATTAAAAATATTTTTAAAAGATATTACTGAAATGTAAAACAAATGACAACAGATGTATTGTGTAATGCAAATAAACTCCAAATGGCAAATGTAATCTCTTCTTAATGGATAATAAAGCTGATCTGAACAAAATTCTATTAACAGAATTTTCCTTTTCCTTAATTTTCCTCATGGTTTTTACTCCTCAGATAAACATGAGACCAAACTGAAGGGTGTCATCTACTTCCAAGCCATAGAAGAGGTGTATTACGATCACCTGCGCAGCGCAGCTAAGGTAATGAGTGAACTGATGTCGTGCTTTTTCAACACCTCCTGTTTACTGTCAGCATCAACAAATCAAGCTCCATACCACTCACACTACAGCACCAGCTTTGGTGAGCACACAGTGAAAGTTTAAACAGACAGGCGTCTTTTTATAAAGAGAATTTCTTACAGCAGTAGGCAAAAGAGATCAAAGGCGAACTTCATGTTCATGTACATTTCGTCATGCTTTCTTTTTTTTCACTTCAGCGACATGCCTTTTTTTCCCCCCTGCCCTGCTGTTCTCCGTCTTCTTGCACTTTAACGCACACTTTGTCTTTTTTTTCTGTTCTTACAGAGTCCGAATCCTTCGCTAACCTTCTGTGTGAAGACTCATGATCGACTTTATTTCATGGTGGCACCATCCCCAGAGGCCATGCGTATTTGGATGGACGTCATAGTAACAGGTGCCGAGGGCTACACGCAGTTTATGACCTGAGGGAGAGTGGATGCAATTCTGCCTGCTGTGATCTGAGAGCGGACAGGACTCATTTAATAGGACGTGCAACATATGCAAAATTATGTTTAAAAAACTTCAGCCAGCACTGACTGATGTCTTTGTCATCGTGACTAGAGAAGAACTGGATGCAGGCTGGCCTGATGACGACGTATTATTGTGCAACTGTTGGTCAGATTTTATGTCACTAAAAAGAGAAGTTGAAAAATATATATATGTGACCCTGGAGCACAAAACCAGTCTTAAGT